CATTTAAAACGCATAGAATGCTTAAAAAAAGCTTGGCACGCGTGCTTATGAAGTAGCCAACTCTGCTTTATCATTTATTCAGTGACGGATCAGAAAGAGCTTTAAGGGACAACCCTACGCTGAGAATCGAAAAAATTGATTAAAAAATAAATGTTTCTTCTTTTCTTCTGATGCAGGTACGAAATTTATAAAAAAACGCAAAAAAAAAAATGCAAAAAATTATATAAAAGCTTCTCTCGAGAGAAATGTTTTGGTCCTTTCTAATTTAATGTCTCCCACTCACAATAGGTTAGAGTTTGTTTTGCAAATGAAGTAAAGATATTGGTTAAATTTTAATTAATATTAAATTAATCTATTAATTTTTTATCAAAGTATTCATATTTTATTTATCCCTGTTTTTAAATTATTCTCCTCTACACTTTGGTTTAATAATAATTCAAAATCAATAATTGCTTCATACTTCCTTTGAAGTAATGCTATCGAGAATTAAGTAAAATGGCTGAAATCATACGCACATTTTTTCACATTTCACTTATGGTAGATATTTCAAGAAAGCAAAAAAAAAACAACAAAAGCTTCCATTCCCAGCCGAATCGCTTACTAATTTATTATATTAATTTAATTGAATTGTATGTTAGTCGGTATAGCTGTCGAAGTTTAAAAGAAGAAAAAAAAAACCAACAAATAAAAAATGGGAAAATTGAATATCGAAAACAGATGTTCACAACGGCTGCCGGCCAATCAAAGTGGCCCAAATGACTGCAACAAAAAGCCAACAACAACCTGCCAAATGCTCCCAAACCGACAAGAACACAATGCGTTCGTCAATGGAGCCGGAGACGGAGCCGTCAGTGGAAAGGCAATTAAAAATTGCTTTAGTGTTTTAAGATTGTTTTATAATTTATACGCGCCGTCTACGAAAATTCCACAGCTACTCATTTTAAGTTTTACTCGTACAAATGTACATACATATGTATGAATGTATGAACATATGTATATCCTTTTGAGTACAATTATTTTTTTTATTATTTTCGATTTCATTAAATTTACAATCAATAATGCGCCATTTCGTATGCAAAATGTGGCATTTTTGTTTTTAATCCAACAAACAAACGGAGGAGGGGGAGAAGTTGTATCTACATATAAAGGGTGTATGTGTTTAAAAAGCTTAACTGTCAGCACACAAATCACCCAATCGAACGATTTGTTGTGCTGGAATGCCTGGATCACTGACCATAATGACTGAAGCACTAAGAGAATTTTAAATCACTTAATTCGATGGAAAATAAATTTAATAAAATGTATTTGTAAGCGCTAAAAAATATGGCGTAACTGAAGTGGGTGAGGCATCACGCAGTCAGTGGAGAGTTGGGGCGGCGGTAGGGCATTGAATGCTGCGTCTGTATGGCACATTAGCTTGGCTAAATTGCGCAGCCAGCAGCTGTCTTAAATAAAACAGTCATCAATGCCATCTTTAATATTTCTTGAAGCGGCAAGGCGAAAAAAAATTAAAATTGCACCCCAAAAAGTGATGAAAAAATTTTAAGTCGCAAAGGCAATAAGATAAAATGGATTTGAAATGCCGAAAAAAAATTGATATTCATTTGATGTTACCAATGTAAGAAAGGTTGTCGATGGAGGAGTTGGGATTAAAAACTTAAGTCTGATGAGAATATTCGGCCCTATTATAGTTGTCGTCGTCGATGTATTTTGCGTCGAGGTCTTGTCTAGCAATAGCTTTGAGCTCTTTACTGTTTAACCCGAGTTGTTTCGGCTCTTCTTCACGTTTGCGCGGTCTGCCTCTGCCGATTAGGAGATTCCATTCCAAGCCCTTCTTTGCAATACTGCCGTCTTCTTTGTGTAAAGTGTGTCCAATCGATAGCCATTTCTGTCTTAGAATCCAGGTGCCAAGGGCTCCATATTAGCCTTTCTGAGCAACTCTTAATTTGAGATTGTTTTAGGCCAACAAATTTGGAGAATTATTTTAAGACATATGTACATAAATATGAATACGAAAACTTTCAGGCGCCTGGTTATTGCAGTATTGACTTTTCAGGTTGAACTGTCAACAGAGTACATTGGATTTGAAAAGCCTAATCTTTAAGCTGGAACTCAGAACCAAAGGTCGCTCTGGTTTTACTTATACGACGGTCAATGTCTTCATTAGTGTGACTATGCCCCCGTCTGCCCTCGTATCGCAGTAACGACAACAGTTGTCTGGGCTAATTCCTAGGATATTTATATGACCTCACAGCCTGCAATGACCGGTCTGTATACCTTTTATATGTTGAGCTTGTCTTTCGGAGAATTATTAGATTCCTTAACCTCTTGGAGTTTAAGTTTTTGACCTGTTGTAGTCCAAGTGACTCCTCCCATTAAGCTCTTCTAAGTAGCCGCTTCTCTGAGGGCATTTGGTCCTATGGCAATGAAAATGTTTTATCCTATTGGCCAGGTAGTTCCATAGGACCTGAAAACTATATCAGTTGTACCGTGTTGTGTTCTCGTAGAACATTCAATCTCTCTACACACTCCCATACATGAAGAAATGGCTTTTTAAGTGTGCCACTGCAGATTTAACTCTACACAAAAAGTTACGGCATACGCTTGAAAGATACTAGAGGCTTTTCAATGGGCATGGAGATTGTGCCTAGGCTTTCTTGCATAGAGCTGGTTAGAACCGGGGGAAGATCCTGTCTTTTCTGAAAGAGAATGGCACATAAGCCATCCGCTTCAGGAGGTTTATTGTATTCAAAGAAACCTATTGCCATTATTGTATATAATATGTATTGTTTTTTTTTTTAAATGTGCAGTTTTTAAACTTAAAAAAAAAAAAAAACATTTTCATATGATTCATAGCATACTTTCAGGCGATTAGCCGACACGGTAATTTCTAATCGTTTCTGATTTAAGAATGAGACCATTTTTTAGTTATATTTCTATAAAATACTGTAACCCATATACTCCCACTCACATCAAACGCAAATAACTACCACAACAACAAAACCCTTAACATTAAAAGTCATTCAACTGCTTAGTTAAGCTGGCTTCATGCGCTTGGTGGCTACAGCAGCGGCGGCGCGCCTGTCAGTCAGCCAAGTCCATCGGCCTTATTCGCCGCTTAATGGATAAAAGATGAAAAGAATCAAAATTATCGAATGCGAGAATTTATGTGGTGTGGTGTTGTTTCTTTTTTAATAATTGAGTGCCATTGTACGCCGAAAAAATTCACTTACAAATATCATACGAATATACATAAATGTACAAATCTATGTGCGATCACATGTAAATGTATACACAAATGTGTTTATGTACTTTCGTATGGTTTATAATGACATGCATTATTTATTTTGAATTATTTTATTACTTTCAAGTGTTCTATTTCGTATTTCTACAAAACATACATATTTACAAACATAGATACAACATAATTACTCTTTGCATTGCTTTCACTAAGATTTCTCATTCATGTTGTTTTTTTTTTTTTTAATGCTAGCAGCGCGCTATGAAATATTCATCTGAAAGCCTTCTACTAATGGAAGCTGTTAAAAATGGTCAATTCGCATTTGAGTGCATACATATGTATGTATGTATGTACATATGTATTTATTAATCACATTTCTATTCGTTGATATAAACAAAATGGCCGCTTTGTCGAAATATCTACTTTTAAAACTGACTCAAGTGTGTCTATGTATGCGTGCTACTACATATGTGTAATTACTAATAATAAATACGCGTAAATAAATTCAATCGCTTAAACAAACTAACCAATCAGCTTCGAGTCTTTTTTTTTAATAGCACTTAGAATGATTCTAACGAACGAACTGGTCTGGTCGCTGTTTTATTTATGAGATGCTGTACGTTTGTTGTTGTACGATCGATGCCATTTAATTGGTTATCAAATATGCACGAACAAATGTACATTAGGGTGCGCCACCAAAAAAGTTGCGGATTTTTTCACGGGAATTTTTAAATTCATTTTATTCTAAGACTTTCCGCCATAATATTTTGGAAAAGTTTACGTGAGCTGAACCGATTTGAAAATACCTTTATAAATCTATAAATTTGATTCCGCTAATAAATTTTTGGAAGCTTTTTAGCAGACCTTTTAAGCTTAAACCTTCTAATCTGAGGTAATTTTTTAGAAAAAATTTTTTAAAAACTAACTTCGTTTATAAAAAACTCGGTTTTTGGATGTTTTTTTTCAAATAAGTCCAGCTCACTTAATTCTTAATATTCTTCCGAAATATTTTGTCGAAAATTTTAAGATATATTAAATTTTATATTTCCGTTGCAAAAATAGTACCATTTTTTTTTGTGTATGGAGAGTGATGCCCTCTAATGTACATACATTTGTATTTACGTGCATGTATACTTACAAAAAAATATCTCAAAAAATCAGCACGCAGTTAAAAATTATATGAATAAATTTGTTTGGAAGATGGAGTTTTTCATGCTTGTTTTATCAAAATGGCATGTTTTAGAAATTCAAGAAGAATTTATTTGCTTATTTGCATTAGTTCATTGTTTTTTTTTTTTTTATAATTATTCTTTTTTTTCTTAATTTCTGATTGACAAAAACGAGTTCATTGGCTCGATTTTGTGCACCTAAATAATCATTAAGATTTTATGATGTGACAGGCTTTGAATTCTTAAATAAATGCATATTACTTAAAATTACATATGTATGGGCTAGCTACATATGAAGGTATATATGTACATAAAGGAGATGCTACATTTTTTGCCCAATACTTAGTAAAATTTTAAAAATAAAAATGCGCCATAATTTTATTTTTTGAAGATTTCGGAAGGGAAATATTCTTCTCTCATCACAAAATATAAATTGTTAACGATTCTATAGCAATTTCACGAAAAAAAAAATTTTCCTCATATGAGCCAGTTGCCTCCTAAAATTTTCGTTAAAATATTTTAAAGTTTATCTCTTATCAAATGAAATAAATACATTTCACTAACAATATTTTGTTTTCTTTTCAGGTTAATAAACAATATTCAGCCACCGATTTGGAGGCTTTTATGAAAATCGCCGTCAATTGGCAGAATAGTAATCACAATTTGTTGGAAGGAGTCGATATAAAAGGAGGTAAGTATTGAATAGTCCTATGTTAGGTTGGGTTGCGCGGGCAGCTCTGAAAAATAGTACACTCGTAGACTTGTGATGCCCAGAAAAAGATTTCCCCATGCCAATCTCTACATGTGTTAAAACCATACAGATTTCCTAGCGAATCATAGCAGACCCTCTAGTGGAGTTTTCCTCAATCTGTCAAAACTCCCGCAGCAGTGGTCCGCCAGAATTTTGACGCGTTTTCTCTGGTCCCTCATAACCTAACGTTTGGTTTTGAGAGCCTTAGTACACTCCGTTTTCTTTGTTCATCAAACCGTAGCCAAGGTGATACAGCGCAGGTGTGCAGATTAGTCCACCTTCCGTTGCTGCCTGCTCTAGTGAGCTTCTCAACTTGTGAAGATAGAATAATATCTCAGATCCCTTCCTATCACACTCGTTTAAAGTTATTTAGGTAAAGGGGAGTTGCTGTGAATTTCTTGCAGCGAAGCAGTCAATACACATACATGAATACGGTTATTTCCTCTATCTTATTCTGAAGTCCGTTGCAGCTAAGCAACCAAAGTCTCATGTGTGTCTTCGGAGTCTGACCGCTATGTGGGGCGTTAGGGCAATGTTGCGCTTGCTGCTTGCGGTCTGAGTCGACGAATGCGGACGTAGAGTTCTGAAAAAGACAGAAGGTAGGCGCTGTGTTCACTAGGAGGTGCTGTGCAAGTCAGGTGCTTGGTTCAACGGCGTGTTGCACGGTGTGGAGGTCTTTCCACTACAGTCGGGTCTACCGGTTCCGGCCAAGAACTGTAGCTGAATTCTTTAAAACTCTTTGGGGAATTTCTATGGTGGACCGTGGGAGTCCTAAGTGTCATACAGCATAAGCATTACGGGAATAATACCTTTGTAATCTAAGGCCAGAAAATGTCTTTGGTGGCTGCATCCGTTCTGGAAATTGCATCTAGCCAAAGTGGAGTTGCTATGCAGCGCCTCTGGCATACGCAGCACAAGTAGGTTGTTGGCCGGGGGTTGCAAGAATGTCAGACCCAAAGCAGAAGCGTGCGGTGTAACTCTGCTGTAGGTACTTCAAGGTATATGTTTGCGATCTAAACAGAGTTGAGCCAAAATTCGGAAAACTGGTACGAACACCGGCTGACTCCGGAATGTTCCTCTACATTCTCTTCTCTTAGGCTTTTCTATAAATTTTATAATTTCTAGTAAAAATATGTTTCCTATTCCTCTTAACAGAAATGCAGCAATACATGAACAGTCCTGCCATGAATATGTACAAAAAGCGTGAGCGCACACAAAACTGGAATCATCAGGAGAAGAAGTTCTTGCTTGACTTGTGTCGCAAGGACATGCGGATTATCGAAAACAAAAGACTCGATGCGGGGTTGACGGCGGTAAAGAATAAAGCCTGGAAGATAATACATCAGAAATTCTCAAGTCAATTTGGTACAGATCGCACCTGTAATCGCTTGAAGGAGCAATGGCGGCGCATGAAAGGTAAATGAGAATTGGATTTTAAAGAAATTTATAAATTAATGAGCTCTCTTCGGTTTAATGGAATACTTACACCTTAGTTGTTAGATAGTAATTTAAAAAAATTTTAAAAGCAAACAAATATTTTATTTCAAACTCAAAAAAACTACAGTGGATTTTTGGGGCGTCAATTTTTAAAGTAGTTTTCGCTTATGGATTTGTCGATTTGTGGCCTAATCTGGCTGCACACTCAAAATAAATAGTATTAGCATTTGTTTTAAATGAATTAAGTTTCGATACAATTTTTACGCTCAAATTATAAAACGGCACTTTTTTGACTTCCAGCTTGCACGCGTAACGAAATTTTAGACTATAATAATCGTTTGGCCAGATTTGGTGCAGAGGTCGCTGATCGCAAGAAGCCATCGCCATTCACATTCGAAGTTTGGGAATTCATGCAGGAGGCCAAGAAAGCTTGCAAATCAGAAGCTTTGGATGGAATTGACTACTCAAAGATACCGTTGGCGCTTGAAGAGGATTACGAATATCGCGAAGATGAACAAAATGGCGAGGATGATCACGATATGGATGAGTAAGTGGAGGGTTAATTGAATTTTCGGAAACAGCTTTTAAAAAATAATAATAATTCATAAATAATGAAAAGGGGAGTTGTGCAAAGTTTCCTAAATTTTCTTTATCTTTTTCCGCGGAATCGCTTCGCACTTACGGTATGTTTTCTCTCTCCCTTTACAGCAGTCGCACCCCACCACAGGAGCTCTGCGATGTCGACATCAAAGAGGAAACCAATGAGACCTTCAACGACACCGTCAACAATCACCATGAATCACTGGCGGCCGGTGAACGCCGTCCCTCCTCCTCTTCGCCGAACCTCAGCCGCCTGGGCGCACACGATCTCGAACGCGCCAGCCTACACAGTCCAGCTGGTAATTTGGCGACGGCCAGTGAACTCACCAACTCCAGCTTTCTCACACAGAACGGTGCAAGTGGCGGTGGTGCAGCGATCGGTGGCAGCGCCGGCGACATGGGCGCCTTCCAGCCTGCCTTCAACATGAGCAACATCTCCGCCACATTGGAAGCGTTGAATGCGTTACGTACCGGGCAATTTCCCTCGGCAGCCGCCGCCGCTGCAGCTGCCTTACAGAATAATTTCGCTGCCGCCGCCGCGCAGCAACATAGCCAACAGCATCAGCAACAACAGCAAATGACAACACCAAGCAGCAACGACCAGCCACTGGTTAAGCGTCCGCGCAGCTCGAGTGGCAGCGGTAATGGCGAAGAGGTGTTGCATGATTTGTCAATGAATGGCGCCGCTGCCGCTGCCATAGCCAACACAGCAACCTCACAGCTGGGCGGCAGTGCGTTGGGTATTGCGCCTAGTAGCACGCCTGAGATGCGCGCCTTCATGGATATGCAGAGCAAAGAGCATTTGATGCGCATGAAAATACTCGAAGTGCAACTGCAAGCGGCCAAATATAGTCGCGATCTTGTCGAGATCAATAAGACATTGGCGCTGCAGAAGCTGCAGGAGTTGGCCAGCAAGCGTCTGACGAGCTAAGTGCGGCGGATGGATAAGTGGGAGGAGTAGACGCGTGTGGAAGCGGAAGTGGAAGTGGAGGAAGTAGTATTTACGAGAGTTGCTTGCATGGAAGCGCTGCTGGCGTGCTTTTCGGCGTTGGGAATGGGATGTAAGCGGAAAAAGGCAGCAACGTGGCGCGGAGATAAGCGCTTCAAGTGGCAACCGCTCGTGTTTTCGTACATACCTACATACATATGTAGCTACATATTACTTTTTATTTATCAAACGTTTGAAGAATTATTATAGTTTTGTTTGCTCTTTTTTTTTGAATAGAAACAACATTCCTGTTAGCGTCAGTTCAATACAAACCTAATTTACTGTTATTAGAAATAGTTGCTCTTCTTTTGATTGTTACTGTGTTTGATGTCACAAATTTTAAAGAATACAAAGAAATATGGAATATGAAGTTAATAAATAAAAAAAAAAGTAATTTAACTTAATTTTTGAAATAATTTTCGCCAAGACAGTATTTACAAAGTAGTTATAACAGAGTGATAGAAAATGTATTAAAAAATAAAACAATCCTTTAGGTATGCAATAGTTAACACAATAGCCCTACCTCAGTGGTCACAACCATGTTGCATAGTAAGAAATATAAACAGTTGAAATTAGCTAACAAACTTTAAAAATAAACTTGTTATTGGTTAAAAATAAATTCAGTTTGGTAAAATCGTTTCGGAATGTACAAAAAGTTCGCCCTATATATGTATATTACATACATACATAGGTATGCACATACCTTTGTATGTTGCTTATTTTTAGGGATGCTTAACTAAATAAACCTAAATTTTGCAACCAAGCAATGCTTGATTTTTAAACGCTGATAGGCTCCACAGAATTGCTTTAATTTTAACTTAGTAGTAAGCTAGTTGAATTCGGAGTGTGGGCGGCAAACAGCTGCGCTTAGATAGCTTAAGCTCGCAAGCCATTAACGGCAAACCGAAAGCCGTTCTTTGTAAATTAAATTATGAGAAAAGCACGAAGAAGTTCCAAAATTTTGGGCCAATTTTATGGGCCATTGAAACAAAAAGAAAATATTCTAAATACACACTCAACATTTCTGAGGTGCCAAAAACTCAAAAATTGTTTAACCTTGATTGTTTTTTTTTCTAAATCTAAAAAACGGTGTTGAATAAAAATTACAACAATTTGTTCTCCGATGAATCTAGTTCACGTTAACTACATATGTATATGGAAAGCAACAGTCTGTTCTGGAAGAACAATATTATAGAAATTAACAGAATAAAAATCAACACTAAAAGTAATAAATGTGTAAAATTGAAATATTTTTGTACTTATAACACTTGTGTAGCAATACATGTACATATATTAAATTCATAGTGTAAAGAAATGTTTCATAAACAATAAAATGAAATACAAAAAAAAAAAAAACTTGCACATAAACAGTGAAAATGCAAATTTTATATACAATCGTTACAAAGCGCAAATCACAAAATGAAGATAACTTTAAAAATAAGCAAATATATAGTTATTTTGTATATGTAAAAGTGAATTAATTACTTAATTTTATTGAAAGTAAATATTTTAAACAAATAAGCACTTAAAAGGCGCAAAAGTATTCACTGGAGTATTGTAGTATCTTTTCTTTATTAAATTTAAGTTTAAGTAATATTGCAAACTTAAGGTTAACCTCTCTGAAAATGAAGAAGAACAAAACTTTTACTTTAATCCATAAGAAAATTAAATTATTAGAAGTATGTATTAAAGCGTGAAGCTTTCAATAATTCTTTTAATACATATTAGGCGTGTTTTTTTTTACACGCGTACGTATCTGCGCTTAAAATTTATATAACCGATGCTTGTTTGGTTTACACGTTGAACGCAGATGTAGATGCGTCTAAAAAAAAACACGCCCATTATACACTTATGTTTTTTAATGTTTGCTTTGGTTATTAGTTGTGTACTATTATTTTTATTATTTATTTTTACTAATTTTTTGTGTTTTGATAATTTTTTTTTGTTTAATATTGAATTTTTCTGGTTTTATTCATTTAATGTTTCTCAAATTTCTGTGAAAACGTATTATTTTTAAATTTAGTTAAAGCTCGTTTTGCCATAGAAACAGAAAAAAACGCATATATTTTGCTTTTAATTTGTTTAGAGAAGTTGGAAAATTACTTAAATAAAATCACTTGAAATACTTAAAAAAAAAAAATTGTGTTGAAACAATACCCACTTCACAGTGTGCAGTAGACTGTAAATAAATGTACACATACATAAATAAATAGTGAAAACTCGTTACAATAATACACACTTGCAAATAAGTGAAGTACTATGTGTGAGTAAGTAAAAACATTAGTGCGGAGTGTATTTGCGAGTTGCACCCATTGCATTAATTGTTTGATTACTATATAAGTATATAAGTATTTTTGAATAAAAATTAGTTATACAGCTATGCTATTATACATACATATATCACAAATAAAATCAAATTTTATCAATTTGAAATTAACTACAAAAAGAGTGTTTATTTACTTTGTATGGTTATGTTAGGTTATGTCGGGTTTTAGTATACATTAGTTGCGTTCCCTAACTCGCAAGAAGTTGCAAAGTAGGGGAAAAATGGGGAGGGGCAAAATCTCCCTCCTCCCTTTGTCAGAAGTTGCAAGATTTTACCCGAAGAATTTTTGTGGTAAAATCTGGTAAAGTGTCAAACCATCAGCTGTTCAAATGATTTGAAAGTTAAATAATAAAAAAAGTGCATCTGCATTCATTTCACCTTCTTAAATATATCGCAGCGAAGAAATATCAAGCATTTAGCAGATCGGAAAATAAAAGAAACTGCTATGTAAACAAAAAATGGCGCCCACGGTGTATTTGACAGTTTTACCAGTTTTTATTCGAAAAGCGTTCCCGTACTTTTTTGCTTTTCTCTCTTTCTGTGAGAGCAATTTTGCTTTTTGACAGTTTTACAGGTTTTATCCAGAAAAGTTGAGGAACGAAACTATGAAAAATATCGAAGAGAATACTCCGTGCTCCTCAAACTATCGCTGGAAATTACTCCATTCCACTTATACTCAAAAGTATTCAGAGGTTGCCGAGATAGGCCGATATTACACTCAGGTGTCGATATGTACGTGCATACATATCGTTACCTTAATTCACAAAGGCCCTAACCAACAATTTTTATTTTATTTTACAGGAAAAACCATTATAAAAAGAGTATCAACAAGTAATTGTTAAGCAAAAAACACAACCGACTTTAATTCTCATTAGTATACAAATTTTTAAGTACCGTTAATTTATTAATGATCAAATTATCGGATCTAAACAAAATTATAAAAGAATTATCGAAATCGATTGACGTTGTCCAAAGTTATGCGGTTACATACACAAAAAAAAATATTTCGACAAATTGATAACCTTCTCCTTTTTTTTAAGTCGGTTTTAAAACAGGTAGGGCTAATGCACATTGAACAGATAGTATCAGTAAAGCAACTTATTTTTTTCAAATTATTTGGTCTCGAAAATGTCAAATATTCGAAATTTTTTATCACAAAAATTCTAAGTGTTTAAAATCTATTTGCATGCATGGTAGAAAAAAGAAGGTAGTTTCACTTAATGACATGAGCAGCCATGTTAGCCATTTGAGTTTTGCTGGGATTATGACATTTTCAACAAAATCTAGCTAAACCAGATTGAAAGTTATAATAAATTTGCTTCTTAAAAGAATTTAATCGACAAAGCAAAAAAAAATTTTTTTATTTTTTTTGAATAAAAAGAATAATCAGTTGCGCATTTCGAAAAGTACAAAATACCACTGCAAGAAAGGCGGTATAAAATTTTTAGAATTTCCAGCGCTTCTTTTTGTGAGACAAAAATGGTTTGATGCCTGCGCCGTGGGCAAGAAAAGCCTTCTAAAATATCCGTATGTATGTTCTCAACATTTTGCCACCACGGATATTAGCATTAGCCAGAACCAGACCACACTACCCAGAAGTGCAGTGCCGAAAGGTAATGAAAAACTGTGTTGGCCAAACATAGAAAAGGAATGGACTTTTCTTACTTCACTGCCTTTAAATTAATTGTTTTGTTTATGGTTTGTTGAATTCATTAAATCAAAACATTTAATAATGTTAACGCAACATAGTACATACCTACAGATCAATTTTCAGTTTTGTGGTAGTGGTGAGAAATTCCATAAAAGTAAGTACATATGCCATTATCCGTTGTATTTCGAAGTAAAATTGCAGTCTTTTTATGGACATATTTGCAATACATATGTACTATATCCCCGGTGACCAGATTTCTGTTGCGAAAAATCGAGACATTTCTAAAGCATCGAATTCGAACATACAATTTTTTTTTAGAATAAAAAGGCCTAATACAGTTTTATTTAAAACAAAACAAGAAGAAAAAGTGGAAAATAATTATTATTTTTTTATGAAAATATAACTTACTATCTAAATAAACATGTAAACCAAAATCATAAAATTTGTAGAACGATTGTAAAAAATTGACGAATTTGAAATCAAGAAATCAAATTTTTTCTCGTTTTTGACACTTTTGATACCAGAAGCAACAACAAAATAAACGCAAATGTTGTTTTCGCTCTTATGCTACTACCTGTGGTGGTAGGACTTTTTAAAAAGTGGCATGAAACTCCGTTGTTTTTGGTACTAACACTTTACAACTTTTATTAAAGGTGTAAATGTTGGTTCGGGCCCTCTTGAATTAAGGTAACGATATGTACATGGCGTATGAGTTACTCAGACAAGATGAGAATGTTACTCATACGCCATGTACATCCTGTTTTAACATTTTCATGATATAGACAGCTCCAATAAGGATCCACCATTTTGAATTTCTAGAATGCCATATGCAGCTGCTTCTATTCAAGCACGCATTTACTTCTGCATTAGCGTAATTCCATGCAAACGTAGAAAACGACAAACAAACATTTTAAAACGCCTTACTTATTCCTATTTCAGCAGAAACCTATGGCTACATATCGAGGGCTTATACAAGACAAATTACTGATTTCTTGCATTTTCAACTTTTCGCTGTCAATATTATTGAAAAGCAATTACATTTTTTTCCAAAGCCAATACAACCGTGTAAGCGATTGTACTTCCGGGCAGCTCTATTTCACAGCGTAGATTTTTAATTTCCATTTTTGCGAGATCCTGCACCCAATAAATAGAATATTCTTCAACATTTTTTTTGTTTCTCGCTTTAAGATTTCCCGATGTATTAAAGTATGGAACCAAATTTATGTAATATTTTCCAAATCGTTGTGCAAATTCATCCTTGATTACTGCTTTCCTTCATATTTCCTCAACGTAAGTCAGTTCCGCGCCACATTGAATTTGCACCAGTTTAATCAATTTTTAGGATCTTTCTTCTTGCCCTTAAGTTT